CCCGCCGCGGCCGCTAGCGCCGCCTGCACAGTTTGTGACGGTCAAGAAGGCGGTTGAAGTGCTTGCCGGAGGGTGGGTCCGTGCTGAGCAGGCGCCACGGACCCATTCCTGCGCACCCCAGGCATCGCACATCAACACCACTGCGTCAGACACGCAACACAGGATTTGGGCCGGGTGCAAAGCCAGAGGCGCAGACCCAACGTTCCCAAGAGCCTTTGGGCTGCGCCAGCGCTCACCATGTCCAAGCCGTCCACCACGCCCGGCAGGCCGACAGGGCGCGCCTCTCCTGCCAGGGCGCCCCCCGCTGGCCCCCCTTTGTTGTTTCTGTTGTGGCAGTTCGTGCACCTGCAAATCTCTGAGCAGCTTATGTTTGCGTCGAAGCACTCGCAGTACTTTTTGAGGCACTTGCCTGGAGGGCGAAGGCGCAGCAAAGCCAGAGGAGAGGCCGGCGAGCGACGCAACGCGTCAGCTATGGTGTTGAGTGACATGGTAGGCACATGGTGCATGTGAGCAGGCTCCCAGAGCACGGTCTCTGCACGCTTGCATGAGGCCCTTGGGGCCAGGCCAGTACGTAGGGACCAGGTTGCAAACGGCCTTGGCCAAACAGCCTTCGGCCCCACGCATGCGTCCGCAGCGAGCCCGCTCACTCTTCTTGCAGCGGCAACCCTTCTTGTGCGTAGCCGCCGAGCCCAGTGCGGTTGGGTCCACCTGCGGTGCAGCAAGCCGGGCGTGCGGGGCGGTCATTCCGGGCGGCGCTCCTGCGGCGCCGTCAGGGGGACGCCCGCGAGGCGCCGTGCGCAGAGGCGCTGGTGCGCGCGAGCCGCGCGTCGCGCCGGCCCCACCTTCGGCAGGAAGGACTGCGGGTTGCGCGCCAGCACGCGGCCGCGCTGCTGCATCACGATGGACTGGTCTTTCTCGGTGTTCTGGCACTTGTCGCAGCTGCACCCGTCGCAGAACATGCCTGTGGCAGGCAGTGAGGTGGGTGTTGGTTTCGGCTGGCCGGGGCGGGGCCGCCAGAAACAGGCGTGGTGGTGCTGAGGCTGGCCACACGACGCGCAGTGGCTAGGGGTTGGGGCCATGGCAGGCAAGTGCTTCCCCGACGCCGTAGGCATGCGCGACAGCTGGGCAAAATTTGAATTTGATTATCAGTAGAGGGGGCGGGGCCCGCCCCGAGCAGCCGCTGTTGGGGACGCGCCCACGGGACCGCCTAGCGACAGGGGTCGATGTGTTTGGCGGCGGCTGCAGAGGGCGGTGCCCGTAAGGTGGCGTGCGCACGCGGCGCGCACCTGCCGCGAAGCAGACGCAATACAGCTTGAGGCATCGCGCCTTCTTGCAGGCGCAGCGTTTGGCTGCCTGGGGCCCCTGCATGAATGCCTGCAGCGGCATCGGCGCTGCCTGTATCTGGGCAAGCTGCTGACCCAGCTGCTGCAGCAGTTCAGGGTCTTGCACCATCGCGCCTGGGCGTGGCAGGGGGTGCATTGGTGCGGCAGGCTGCTGGATGTGGGGCGGGCCACGGGCACCTGCCTGGCCACTTGCACCACCATAGCCAGGGGGGTCCCAGCTTAGGCTGATCAAGTTGAGACCTCCACGCACCTGATACGGGCCCAAACACGGCTGCTGGATCCATTTCCTGGCCGATTGACCGTGTCCCGCTTAGATCAACCGAAGCATGCCTCCGCCACTGAGTAGTCCACAAAAAAACACACGTGCCAGGGCTTCTACAGCCCTCAGATACTACACAAACCCCGCCAGAGGTCACCCACGCTGCCCGTTTGAACTTTGCCGCGCCCTACAAGGCCCCCCCGTGCTACCTAAGAGCAGGCAGAGGTCAACACATGCATCAAATGGGCACCTACTGTATGCTGTTACTTCTGGACGGTGCCTGGTTCAATGAAACTCAGTGGAAGCGCGGGCAGCTTCCGCCACCTGACACCACATGCTCCGCGCCACGCGTAGGTTGTGCTTCCCCTCATTGGTCATATTTCAACATAATTTTTGATCTTGGGGACCTGCTACAAGTCTCCTCAAGATCAAAATCGACATTATGGTGTCAAACCCAGTGATTGAGGGCGTGGCAGGTGAGCGAGGAGGAGGGCAGGTAGCAGCTTGACTTTGAGGTTGGGGGCATCGTTGCAAGGCCGATGCTCGGGCGCTACCGCACTGACCGGGCCGCCGAGACGCGCCCAGGGATGCTGACTGTGCACTCGGCGCTGGCTGCAGCCAAGAGCAAGCAGCGTCCCCACTCGCGCGCACGCTGCACCCGCAGGCGCCGTAGGGGCGGTCGTCGCCATGACAGCTACGTATCCACTGATAACAGGCGCGTGCGGCATGCACCAGCAGCAGCGCCGCCACGCGGCGCCGTTTTCGCGAGCGCGCCGGGGCAACCACCTGCACACAGCATGGCCCCGCAGCCCGCAGCGACCGCCCCGCTGGCCCCTGGGCCCCGCCCGTGTGCTCTCTGCAACCGCCTGCATGCCCTGACCCTTCCACCCACCCTTTGCAGTCGTCACCCTGCGGGCACTGGAGACAGTGGATGACGGCAAGGGGGGCCGGAAGCTGCCTGGCGCCCTGGGGCTGCTGCCGGCGGCCGTCCAAGAAGTCATCCACGTGCGACCCCCGCACGCGCAGCTGCCCCGCAGCTTCCTGGTGGATCCGCCTCCGGTGGCGAGCCGCGTACACCCCTGAGCAGCTGCCGCGGCGCCGACAGCCCGACGATTTCGGCAGCCCGTCGTCGCCTGCGGAAGGCGCGCGCCCACTCGCCGCATGCATTTGCGCACGCCCCCGTCGCCCCCACTGCGCAGCACTCGAGGACAAAGGGATGGCGCAGCCTGTACGCCGGCCTGAAGCCGTCGGTGGTGGCCACCGCCACGTCGCAAGGGATCTACTTTTATGTTTACTCCCTGCTCAGGGGCTGGGCAGTGGTGAGCGGCGCCGCGATCCAGGGGCGCAGCGGTCTAGTAACTGCTGCGCTCCCCGGATCTCGTGATCTGGGAGTTTGAAGCGCGAATGATTTTTGCCTGGACGAGGATTTTGTGAGGGAGGCGATGATGTTGCGGCGGTCTTGGTGGCGAGCCACCAAGGCTGTCTTAGCAAGTTGCTCCGGGTCGTGCTGCGGTAGGCCGGCGTCCACGGCACACGCCTGCCGCAACCTCCGCGCGCCGACGCCCCCTCCGCGCCGCGCCGCCCCCGCAGTCGGCGCAGTTAGCGGCCGCGCGGCGGCAGCAGCGGCAGCGGCGGCGGCGCGCGCGGGAGGAGGGGCTGCAGCTGCTGGCGGACGCAGAGGCCGCAGACGCGCACTCGGCGGCGATCGGCGTCGGCGCGTCGCTGCTCGTGGCAGCCGCGGCCGGCTGCATCAACGTCGTGCTCACGATCCCGATGTGCGTGGGCGGCCGGCGGGCCTGTTGCCACATTTTGTCGAATGCCCGCCGCCTGGGTTGCCCAGGTTGCCGCGACGCGATACCGCCTGGAACTATCGCAACAGAGTCATGCCGCGCCTCGCGCTCTGAACTGGGTCCAGCGCGCACCAAGCCTGCTGTTGTACCCCTTGTAACCCCCGTCCCCGCTCCCGCCC